ATAGATAGATAGATAGATAGATAGATAGATAGATAGATAGATAGATGATGGATAGATAGATAGACAGAGGGTAGATAAATGTAACAGATAGATGATGGATGGATGGTGGATGGATGATGGATCAGACAGTCGGGAACATCACAGTTTTCCATATAAGACTGTGATGAAGTTCCTGCTTTGGGGTCAGGAGACTTATAGCCCCCTGTTTCAGGGAGCTGGCTGCCGCCCCATCTGGCACCCTCACATCTGTCTGCAGTAGTGTGTCTGTTGCTGGGCCAGCTGTGTCCTGGATGCTCCCAACCTTCAGGCTCATCAGCAGGGCCTTCTGTTTCACCCCCTGAGCTGTAGCCATGTGTGCTTCGGTCTCAGGTGCCCTGTCAGATTGGGTTTGGAAGAAAATGGTGAGGTTGAAGACTTTCTGGGAAGAGGCAAGGGTGTGCTCCCTACTTGGGACCCAGTGTGTGTGGACAGATGTAACCCCTGCCCCCTCTCAGTCCCCTCCAGTGCTGAAGGAGCATCTGGAAGGGGTGCTCTGGGCACCAAGGGTGGGTTGACTAGAGAGGGGTGGAGAACCCTGTCACCCATCTTCTGTCCTCCCCTACAGCGGGTGCAGACGTTTCCATGGAGACCTGCTGTGCAGATGGACATCGAACGGCTACTCAGAAAAGGGACTGCTCACTGCCCTACACCTCGGAGTCCAAGGAATGCAGGTAGGATTCACAGACGGTGTCTTTGAGGGGCATCAGGGAGGGGGCAGAGTGTGCCCACCCCACAGACTGACTGGGCACCAGGCGTCCCTTCACTGGGCAGGGGCTGCTCTTGACGGAAGTAAGAGGGTCTGGGCTTATAGGCCTCTCAGCCGTGGCTGGACCACTGTGGGCAAGACAGCTGCCTCCTAAGATGAAGGGACTTGTGGGAGCAGGTGGGACCATGTGACTGGGAGTCCTTTGCCGATAAAATCGCAGCCTGTCTAGTAATGACAAACAAAACAAAGCAACAAAACTGCTCCAACTCATCGTGACCCTATAGAACAGACAGCAAAGAAGAACGGCCCCGCTGGGGGTCGCAGACTGCCTCATCTTGTTCCCAAGGAACAGTTGGTGGGTTTGAACCGCCACCCTTTTGGTTAGCAGCCAGATGCATAACCCACTATGCCACCAGGACTCCTGGAGACCTAAACGCGGAGGAGCCAGTTCCTCCAAACACTACAGAAGCCACCTCTCTATGTCATCTGACTCCTGGTGTGGCACTGGAGGGTTAGCACCAGACTGCAAGCCACAAGGTCGGCAGTTCAAACCCATCAGCCCCTCCTTGGAAACCCTATACAGGGTCGCTATGAGTCGGAACCGACTCGACGGCACTTAACAATTCCCTACATCAGTTTCTGAGTGGTGCAGAGAGTGAAGTGCTTGGCTGCTCACCACAAGTTTGGCAGTTCGAGTCTGCCCTGAGGTACTTCGGAGGAGTTGCCATCGGCTCTGTGATAACTCCCTAAATTGACTCCGTCTCCCTCAAAGTACTGGGGGGCAGAAGTTTAGAACAAATGGTGAGATGGGCAGTAGTACTCACCAACCCGAACTGAGAGACCCAGACCCTCTGCTGCTGTGTGTGCTTTCTCATTTACCCTTTTGGATTGAAGCTTTTCTCAGGACCCACAGCTGGTGCTCTGGTAGCGTAGTGGTTACGAATCGGGCTGCGAACCGCAAGGTCAGCAGTTCAAAACTACCAGCTGTTCTGTGGGAGAAAGATGAGGCTTTCTGCTCCCGTAAAGATTTACAGCATCGGAAACCCTGTATAGGGTCGCTATGAGTTGGAACCGACTCCACGGCACGTAACAACAACATATGGCCTGGAAGGAGTCCTGGTGTGACACTGTGGGTTAATGCATCAGACTGCAAAGCTGTTTGAACTGCAAGATTGGCGGTTCAAGCTCACCAGCTGCTCCTCAGAAACCCTATACAGGGTCGCTATGGGTTGCAATCGACTTGACAGCACTTAACAACAACATATGGTCTGGATGGAGCTCTGGTAGTGTAGTGGTTATGAATAAGGCTGCAAACCTTAAGGTCAGCAGTTCGAAACTACCAGCTGCTCTGCAGGAGAAAGATGAGGCTTTCTGCTCCCGTAAAGATTTACAGCATCGGAAACCCTGTACAGGGTCACTATGAGTTGGAACAGACTCCACGACACATAACAACAAAAACAACAAAGATTTAAAGCCTTGGAAGCTCTATGCAGTGTTGCTCTGAGTCGGAACCGACTCCACGGCACATCACCGCCAGCACCACAGCTGGTCAGTGCTGGATTTGAACAGACACAGGCCAGCACACGCAGGAAAGGCGAGGATATGGACACTTGTCATCGTTTTACGTGACGTTACTTTCTCCGTCTCTAACCTCAGTCTCGGCAGCCGTGGGGCACTGGAGGGGGCTGTCGTGGGAAGACCGGGGTCTGGAGCTCTGCATTTGGGTTACTGTTTCACATCCCAGGTTGCCCACCAGGGCTGACTCAGCAGGCTGCAGTTAGCTTAGGGAATTTATGAAAAGCTGCCACAAGCTCTCTATGGACTAAACAAAGGAAGGGGAAACGAGAACCATGGATTGTTTGAGCTGACCAGGGTACCCATCTGCTGAGTGTGAGCTGCAATTTCAGCTCTCAGCATGGCAGAACGCTGGGTGTTGTCATTGGGCCGCCCGTTCTCCGTGCCAAGTGGCACTGACAAGAGGAGACAGTCTGGCCTGAGGAGTTGGGCTGAACTGGTGGAGTCTCCAGCTGTGTAACCTAAGCCAGCTTTGAGCCTTCGTTTCCCCAAATGTACAACACAGACCGCGCGGTACCCTCCCTTCAAAGTTGCTGTCTGACATGAAACCAGCGCCAGCCAGAAAGCCAAACCGCTATTATCGATACTGATTGAGAGGTAAGACTTAAACTCAGAAAAGGAGGTGTCAGCCAGCTAGGCCCCACAAAGAGTGGAGGAAGGGCCAGGGGCCAGAGGGATTCGGTGGCTATGGGACCCTCCTTATGAATCTGGATTTGGGAGTCGCAGTGGCATCGTGGTTAGACACTTTGCTGGTTAGACCCATCGGCAGCTTTGCAGGAGAAAGACAGGGCTGTTGCTGTAAAGATTTAGAGCTCCGGAAATCCTAGCCTGCCCTGCTAGGTTGCTGTGTTTTGGAATCGACTTCACAGTAACAGGTTTGGCTTGTTTGTTTTAAGTTTGTCTTGAAGGAGCCCGGGTGGCGCAATGGTGAAGTGCTCGGCAACTAACTGAGAGGTTGGTGGTTTGAACCCAGCAGCACGCTGCAGAAATGACCTGGCAATCTGCCCTTGTAAAGACTGTAACCTGGGAAACCCTCTGGGGCAGTTCTACTCTGCTCTGTATGTGTGGTAGCACACAATGATAAGTTTGTTATGAGTCCCTGGGTGGCGCGAATGGGTACGTGCTCAGTCACTGACAGACAGCTTGGGGGTTCCTCGGGAGAAAGACCTGGTGATCTGCTTCTGAAAGGTCACGGCCATAGGAGCACAGTTCTGCTCTGATACACCTGGGATCCTCGTGAGTCGGAATCAACTCCACAGTGACAGGCTTTTACGTTAGTTACTGACTTTGAGTTTGTAATGTGTTTGGCTAAAGTTTTGGAGTTCTCTTTAAGCTGCTGTGGGCTTCAGAACACATGGGAACATAGGTAGTTCCTTCTGTCTCTGACACTTGTTGAATGCTGTCGAGTCAGTTTCAACTCACAGCAACCTTGTATAAGGTTTCTGAGGAACGACTGGTGAGTTTGAACTGCTGTCCAGGGCTTATCCTGAAGAGCCCCACCTGGGTTCCGTGTTCCATTTGCTGCTGTTAAATGCTGTCAAGTCAGTTCCGACCCATAGCAACCCTGTATAGGGTTTCCGAGGAGTGACTGATTAGCTTGAACTGCCGACCTTGCAGTTCAAACGGCTTTTACCTACCTACAAATCCTTAAAGACACAGTTAGGAACGGATCTAACAGAATGACCTAAATGCAGACAACTCCATCCTGGAGCCTGGCAGCAATTCTGAAAACATTGGGGCAGCCGGCTGCAGACCCTCCGTCCCACAAGGGTTGTGAGAACTGCTGACGGCCTTGGGAGGCTGCGCGGGCCCCACCCTCTTGACCTAAACAGGGGCAGGCTGGGTTGCTCCTCTGGACTTGGCTGACTTTGGTGAAACTTGGGGGCTATTTTGGACACCTCTCGCCTGCTTGCCTGCCTACCTGCCAGCTCCTATTGCGTCCTGCACGGGAAGCCGATTCTAGTAGACTGGGGTTCTTCCTTGTGCCTAGACACTCTCTTGTGCACACAGCTCCCTAGGGTGCTGACAGGGTTGGGAGACACAGGAGCCGTGACCAGCCACCATTGCTGCCATGCCTTGGAGCAGCCACCTCACTTCTGTGAACGGTCTCCCCCTCAGGGATGGCGGTAATGAAGGCTCTGACCACATAAAGGGTGGAAGGGTTTGACCAGCGTTGGCATGACTTTCTTTTAAGGGTGAATTGGCTGTTCTTGGCAGCATAGTACCCCAGACACCACCTGCAGGTGTGCTTTCTAGTGAAACACTTGTGGACAGATTTCTGTCTGCATGGGTGTCAGGGAGGGGAGTCCTGACACACCGCCCCTAACCACCCGTCCATCTGTTTGTCTGTCTGTAGGATGGTCCATGAACAGTGTTGTCACAGCCAGCTGGAAGAGCTGCACTGCGCCACAGGCATCAACCTGGCTAACGAGCAGGGCAGCTGCGACGTGACGTCTGGGACCAGCTCTGAGGTCATGTTCGTGAAGGTGAGGACCTGGCCTGGCCTGCTGCCGGTCTCCCCTCCCTCCCTCTCCTGCCAGCCTCTGCTCTTCACCTTTCTTTGTGAGTGTGTGTGTGTGTGTGTGTGTGTGTGGGGAGGGGTTGCCCAGCCAGGAAGGTGGAAAAACCATGCATGACCCCCCTCCAGTTTAGTCAGGGAGACAAGGATGAAGTGATCAGCCTCAGCCCTCCTGTCCTCAGACCTAGATAGGGACAGAGGTCAGAGGAGGGTCATCAAAGGTCTGGAGAAACTTCTCCCCAGGTCAGAGAAGGTGCCCCCAGTCCCCATTCAGCCTCCTGGCCCCAAAGGCTCATGGGTGAGATCAGAATGCATCCCCCAAGGCCTCTAAAGTCATATGACTACACTATGCTAGAGGAAGAAACTGAAGTTCAAGGTGGCCCACAAAGTGGCCCCTGAGCAGCAGCCCTGGGGGCCCCCCACCCCCACCCACCCAGCAGTGAGGCAGCCCCTGGGTCTCCAAGGCCTAGCTGGGTCACTCAGTGTCCATAACCGTGCAGGTCTGGGTCCCCTGCCTGGGTGTAAATGCGTTCCTGACCGAGCCCCAATCTCAGAAAACTGCACATCCCCTCCCTGCCACCTGCTGAGAGAGAAAAACAAGGCTGGACCAGGGCAGTGTGGCGCTGGACACCAGCGTGGCCCCTGGATCCTGCTGCAGATGCTGGCTGGGAAGAAAAACTCTATTCCCAGTTCGGACTTGATGAAGGGATTTCAAAGAGCAGGATTTGAAGGAATGAAGTCAGGGTTCCCGGAGGGGCTTTGGGCCCTTCCTTTTCTGGAATTCTACCCCCACACAGATTGGGGTGTGAGAAGTGGGGTCCAGGGCCCGTCTCCCCATGTGGGACTTTCTGAAAGGGACTTCTGGTGAGAAGTAATTGTGTAGGTTGTGGGGGGTGTGGGTGGGTCCGCTTCAGGGAGGCCAGGGACTCCCGAGAGTCTGGTGACTGTCTTCGGCGCAGGGCTGGGCTCTGCAGACACCGTCTGCCTGGCACACAGCTGTGCCAGTGTTCCCAGACGTGAGGGGAGGTGTGGAAAAGTGTGGAACGTTCTATGGGCATGGGAACAGATGAGTGATTGGTGTTTTCCGGGAAGCATGACTCACACTCCAAAAGGTGGACTCAAGTTAACAAGCAGTCCCGTGCTTTTTCCGTCAGCGGAGGAGAAGACCCATCAACCTTCTCTAAAACTCCAGCCGAACTGCACCTTCCTGGCTCCCACTGTGGACTTTCTGGAACGTTCTGAGTTCTTTTTAGGAAAACCGTTAGGAAGGACTTGAAGTGGGGCTTTTCCTAGGTGTGAGGACACTAGCTCACGTGTTATATCTGGGCATGCAGCGGTGGGTGGGGGGGGTGGGGGGGCAGGCAACCACACTCCCTTGCTTGATGACTTGTCCCGAGGCTCCTGGCTCCTGTGGTTGTTGCCCAGAGCACCGCAAGCACCGCATGAGCTCGAGGTGGGAGAGACACGCTCCACATTCCTCCTTGGGGGCCTGGTTTGAAAAATCTCAGACCACACCCAGGAAACGACTCCTGGGGGAATTCTTTTGAGTCCAGCAAGGCTCCCCCTTTCTGGAGGTGTGAGGCAGAGCCTGCAGGCTACTGTTTAGGGGTGTTGAGGAGGGCAGTTGGGGATCAGGGCAGCAGGAGTGGGTATGGCACATACTGGGCCCCGTGAGATTTGGGGGCAGCAAGGCTGGTGCTGCGTCCAGCGGCATCTCACGTAGTCTCCGCCTGTATTTGCAGAGATGTTGCTACTGCTGTCTCCTGGGGAAGGCAGCCCAGGCCCAGGGCCAGAGCTGCGAGTACAGCCTCATGGCTGGCTACCAGTGTGGACTAGTCTTCCGGGCATGCTGCGTGAAGGGCCAGGAGGCTGCAGAACTCCCACCTGGGGACGTCATGGACCTCCGAGAGACAGGTAGGCCCCCCTCTGCTTTCCCATCCTGGGTGGGAAGGGCTTACACAGTCCTACTGCCCAACTCAACACAGACCAGTGTGAGCTGTCAAAATGTTTCTTAGAGATGGCTCTGGAACCAGACAGATCTGGGCTCCTGTCCCAGCCCTAGCATGAGTCTTTTTTTTTTTTTTAATGTTTTATTGAAAATTATATGATAGTTTACATGGGAGAACTTTAGTTTTACATTCATTCCATCGTATATCATCTCACTGCCATGGTTCCAATCCCCTCCATGCATCCTCAACCACCCAAAGGGTATAGCCCAGAAACCCGCTCCCTACACTTCCTCCTCCTCCCCCTAGTTTTCAGCCCACAGTCCCTTTCCCTCTCTGGGTCCAAAGTCCCCAGTCGCTTCATCACTTCACGTCATCATCTCTGTCTCCATCTCAGGCATCTCTGTTTCTCTGGGTAGGGTCCCGCTCTCGACTCTTCTCTGTTGATGGTCCCAGAGGCCTCCGCTCCTATCCTGGAGAATTAATCACTCCCTTCCTAGTTACAAAACTTCTACTTTTGCATATCCAACCCTCATAGTCCGTCCTGATAAGCATTATTCACTACAGTATCACGAGTTACCCATCTGTATCTCCTTTCATCAGCTCCGCCCAGACAGATTGAATAGTACCTACTGGAGATTCTGCCTTCCGCCATCCTAGCATGAGTCTTGAGTGAACAAATCTATCCAGGCTTCAGTCCCCCCATCTGGGAAATGGGGATAATCACAGTCCTGCTTCATAAGGTGCCTGGCTTGGGCTGAGAACTTGCCCCTGACCTCCCTGCCGGTGGCTGGCCTTGTTCTCACTCTATAAAGGAGGCCTGAGGCCAGCATCAGAGGAAGGAGAAGCTGGCCTCCCAACTCCTGGCCAATGCCCTCCCTTTCCTCACGTGGAGGTGAAGAGTACTGAATAGACTGTGGACTAGCAGGCCGATCTGTCTTGGAAGAAGTGCAGTCACAATTCTTAGAAGTGGGGATGGCAAGCTGTCTTATGTACTGTGGACATGTTATCAGGAGGGACCAGTCCCTGGAGAAGACTATCTTGTTAGTAAAGTGGAGGGTCAGTGACAAAGAGGAGGGCCCTTCAAGAGAAGACTTGGCACCGTGGCTGCAACAATGGATCAAACAGCAATGATTGTAGGGATGGTGCAGGAGCAGTGTTTTGTTCTGTTGTACTTGGGGCTGCTATGAGCTTGAACCAACTCGACGGCACCTAACAACAACCTGACAACGCTGCGTTCAGACCAGCAGCTCCTTTCCCTTCTAGTATATCCAATCAAGTATTGGCTGACGGTGGAGTTACACTCTCTGTAATCTATAATACCCAACATTCCTTTCTAACATATGTGTAGGTCTGCTTTACAACATTTGTGGTTAAGTGCTGTTGAGTTGGTTCCAGCTCGTAGCGATCCTACGCACAACAGAATGAAATACTGCCGGATCCCGTACCATCCTCACAATTGTTGACTTTGAATCCATTGTTGAGCCTTTCCATCTTGTTGGGGGGTGTGAGGGGGGTGGAGGTCATTCTCTTTTTTGCTGACCCTCCTCTTTACCAAGCATGATGTCCTCCTCCGGGGACCGGTTCCTCCTGATAACATGTCTGAACTATGAGAGACAAGGTCTCGCCATCCTGGCTTTTAAGTTGCATTCTAGCTACACTTATTTCCAACCCAGATTGCTTCTTCTTCTGGCAGTCCATGACATTCTGAGTATTCTTCTCCAACACCACAATTAAAATGTATGGATTCTTCTACGACCTTCCTAATTCACTGCCCCACTTTCACATGCATATTTGATGAGTAAACATACCATCAATGTTTGGCTCAGGTCCACCTTAGTCCTCAAAGTGACTGCTTTGCTCTTGACTACTTTAAAGAAGTATTTGTTGCAGATTTTTCCTAATGCAAGGCGACATTTGACTTATTAACTGCTGCTTATTAAGTGTTGATTTGTTATTTCATTCATAAATCTAATTGTGAGTTCTGTCTGTGTGGCCGATACAATGGATACTGAACCCAGCAGGAAAGTAGAGGGCATTGTTGGAGGGATGGTTGTTGTTGGTGTTGTTGTTAAGTACTGTGGAGTCGGTTCTGACTCATAGTGACCCTGCACAGGGTTTCCGAGGCTGTAAATCTTTACTGGAGCAGAAAGCCTCATCTTTCTCTTGCGTAATGGTGGTAGTTTCGAACTGCCAACCTTGAGGTTAGCAGCCCGATTCGTAACCACTATGCTACCAGAGCTCCTTATGGTTGGTGGTAGGATAGGATAAAACAGGTTGAAGGGTGGAGGCATGTCCGGCCTCCATCCCAAAGGAATCAGTCTTAGACTGATGATTTTGAATCTCCCTCCTCTGGATGTTGGATCCAATCCAATTAAAGTCTTTGACAACTTCAATCTTTTCTCCTTTTATCACGGTGTTATGTATTGGTCCAATGGTGAGGGTTTTCCTTTACTTCACTTTGAGGTTCATTCCCAACACGAGGTAAGAGAACACCCATGACCCTTTTAAAGACATTCTAGTTCAATCTTCTTTTTTCCACACCTTGACTACCTTCTCATTCATGTACATATGGCCTTAGGCCTCCGCATGGATGGAACCAGAAGACCCTGGACCCCTTTCAACATCCCAATTAGCCAACCTGGAACTTGGCTCGAGCCACTCCATGTTTGGTTCCTTCAGTCTTATCACAGCAACTGGCACTTTTAATCGTTGCAGATGACAACCCAAGTAACCATCTTTCTCTTTCAAAGTCCTGTGTTTCATGAGTCTGAAGTCAGTCCTAGAAGTCCTATTCTTGATGCCAGCTGTTAAAGTGGTGTGTGGGGGGCAGCGTCAGAGCTTCGCATGTGACTTCACTGCAAAGAGGGAGAACTAAAATCACCAACCCAAGGCCGATTCCTATGAGGCGGAGGTCAGACATGCCTCCACCCTCCATCCTTCTTCATGCACTCGTAACTCCAACCTCAGTCCAGCCCCCAGCTCTTTCTACTTCTTTGCTGGCCACACAGTACTCACAATCTTAGGGAAGTAACAAGTTACAATTCAGGGTGACAAATGACTCAGGATACGCTTCTTCCATCAGCTTAGCTTCTTGTCTATGTGCATTGGCAGGTCTTGCCCTGACCCTAAGCCCAATGGGCTCTTGGCCCCCTCAGCCCTCTTAGGCTGGCCTGGCCTCTCCTCTGCTCAGGCAAATGTTACACAGCTCGTTAGCTCTAGCCAGTAAGTGGCCCGAGGTACCCCATTCTGCCAGCAAGTCTCCTTCTCAAAGGAATTCGGCTCCCTTGCACCAGGGGCTGTGCTGTCTCCTGCTAGTCTGATTTCTGCTGCCTTTTATGCCGCTGTTCTCAGACACTAATTCCCACTGTCTTGGACCATCTCTAGCAGCCATAATTCTGTCTCCTGAGTCTAGGAGGCTCCTGGTGCAGGGGCCCTGGGTCTGAAGGACACCCTCCTCTTGGCTTGTCTTTCTTGATGGCTATGAGGTCCCCTCCCCACTCTGGGACCAGCTCTCTTCTAAGCCTTGTTGTTGTTGTTGTTGTCAGGTGCCATCGAGTCGAAACCAACTCATAGCGACCCCATGCACAGCAGAACGAAACAATGTCCTATCCTGGGCCAACCTCACTACCGCTGCCACACTTGAGTCCATCAATGCCGCCACCTGGCCAATCCATCTCATTAGGGGTCTTCCTCTTTTTCTCTGACCCTCCACCTTACCCAGCATGACATCCTTCTCCAGCGACTGTTTCCTCCGGACAATATGTCCAAAGTAGGAGAGACAAAGCTTAGCCATGCCATCCTGGCCTCCAAGGAGCACTCTGGCTGCACTTCTTCCAAAACAGATCTATTGGTTCTTTTGGCAGTCCATGGCACTTTCAGTATTCTCCTCCAACACCACAACTCAAAGGCATCAATTCTTCTACGATCTTCCTTTTTCACTGTCCAGCTTTCGCATCCATATGAGGCTATTGAAAACACCATGGCCGGGGTCAGGCGCACCTTAGTCCTCAAGCTGACATCTCTGTTTTTCACTTCTAAGCCTAGTGAATGGCAATGCTGACTAACCCCCTTGCTAGGGTTCTATACACCTTATTGGCATAGCCCCACCCCTGCAAGACTGCTATCCACTTCATTTGCATTATTAGCAAACTGCCCAATCCATTTGGTGGGACACAAGCACTTCATTTGCATAGTCCCACCCAGTCACTTGGTGGGAGTTAGAACTACTGCTAGATGGTGGTGGTGGTTCTGTGACGTGGGGTCAGTCTTGACTCACAGAGACCCTGTACAGGATGTCCGAGGCTGTCAATCTTTACAGGAGCAGAAAGCCTCAGTGAAACAGCTGGTAGTTTTGAACTGCTGATCCAGAGGCTAGCATCCCGATTCGTAACCCCTACGCTATCAGATGGGCCATGTTAACTCACGGCACCCCATCATCTTCTCTCTGAACTTAGTCCCCACCCCTTCACCCCACTGTTATAACTGGGTGAGACAGAGGATGGGGTTCTAAGATAAGACTTCATGATCTGAGTGTGGTCTCTACATCAGGCCCTCCTCACTTTGCTGCAGCTCTGCACCCCAGTGACTTTCGGGTCCCGGGCAAGATGATCCAGTCCTTTATTAAATCCAGGGTGGCAGGCTGGTTTTCAGCTGTCTCATCCATAAAGAGGCATTGGGACCACATTGTGGCTCCCTGCTTGGCTCGCTTTTGAAACCAGAGCTGACATTTTTACTGTAAACAAACTCACCCCTTCATCCTAGTGGGGGTTTCGTCTCTGAGTCTCTGGGGAGGATTTACACTGATTTACGGCTTGTTTTATCAGGCTGCTCCGGATTTCTGTGGCTCCAGATGTCTTGTCTCTTATCTGTTTCAGTTCCTGCCCAGACTTTCCTCAAATGCCACCCCCTCTTGGAGGGCTCCCTCTTTCCCTCCTCCCTCCCACACTAATATTTATTGAGGCCCCCTTAGGACTGCTCAGAGGCGCCACAGATGAGGACTGGCCTGCGATGAATTAAGTACAGCTGTTGGGAGTGAGCTTTTAGAAACCTCTAGAAGTGTTTGATCCCTGGGTGGTGCAAATAGGGAAGAACGCATGTGTTCACTGAAAGGTTGGCGGTTTGAGTCTCTCCCTGAGGCACCTCAGAACAAAGACCTGGTGATCTACTTCTGAAAACTCAGCCACTGAAAACCCTGTGGAGCACATTCTGTCCTGACATCATGGGGTCATCATGAGTCTTGAGTTTGCTCAGCAGTAACTGATCAAAGAACTGGATCAAAGTATTGCTCTGGGGAGTGAGACCTGGTCTGTTGTCTAGTTTGTGAAGAGCTGTGCTCAGTTGTGAAGATCTTGTAAATGCGATTATTTCCATTCTACAAGTTGAGGCACTGAGGCGGCAAGCTCAGGTCAGATCTGTTTGCTGGAAGGTCTAGTGGCCTTTCTAGGCTTGCTGGTCTCCATGGCACCGTCACCCAGGTGCTAACTGGCTTCCTACCTCCTCACTGAGAGCCCTTTTGAGAAATGGGATTGGGTCCCTGTGTGTCTCCAGAGTCCCCAACTTAGGGACGGGTGGGCTTGGTGTTTGTCCAAGTTGAATGCTCTGAGTGAATGAATCTTCCCCAGATTAAATAAACCAGATCGAAGCTCCCAGCTTAGAAGAGAACATGTCTATCTTACATGGCTTTTGCTCAGTTAGCTGCTCTCCAGGTTCAAAGTTCTTTGAATTATTTAGGGAATAGCCACCCAGGGACTCATTCGGGTTTCTCAACAAGTGGGTTTGAGGATACAGCCTAAAGAGTCACCATGAGTTAGAAGCGTGTCAGCAGCATCAAGCTGGAGTGGAGTGGTGCCCAGCTGCTAACCTAAAGGTCAGCAGTTCAGACCCACCCAGTGGCTCCATGGGAGAAAGACACCTGGTGTTCTGCTCCGTGAAAGATGACAACTTTGGAAGTCCTCAGGGACAGTCCTGCTGTGGCCCTTGAGGGTGCTGCAAGTTGAAAATGGACTCAACAATCACTGGATAAGCACTGGACTGCAAGGTCGGTGGTTTAATTTACCAGCCGCTCCTCAGAAGCCCTATCCAGGGTTGCTCTGAGTTGGAACTTAACAGTAGTAACGTAGTACGCATGAGTTAAGTTACGTTGAATTTTAAAAAAGCATGAGTGTTTGGACAACATACCTGCCCTCCACATGAAGTTACAGGGAATTGGACGAGTGTTGTTACTGGTATCATGGATCATATAACCCACGGGTACCAAGCCAATTCCAACTCATAGCGACTCTGCATAGGGTTTCTGAGACTGGAAATCTTGATGGGAGAAGACAGTCTCATCATTCTTCCTTGGATAAAGCAGCTGGTAAGTTGGAACCACCAACCTTGTGGTTAGCAGTTCGGTGCTTATCTTAACAGCGTAATTGCAATCATGAGTGTAATTCTTTTTTAAAAAAGAATAAAACGAATACTTAGTTGATTGTAATGTTTACAAATGGGCATGAGACCAAACCAAACTAAACCAGACAGTTGCTATGGTGTTATCTCGACTTAGGGTGACCCCGCGCATGCCAGGGTAGAACTGTGCTTCCCGGGGTCTTCACTGGCTGATTTTTCAAAAGGAGCTCACTAGGCCTTTCTTTCAAGGTACCTCTGGGTGAACTGGAGCCCCAACCTTTCAGTTAGCAGTAGAACACTGACCCGTTGGTGCCAGCCATCCAGGGACTCTTAAAGATGGGCTTTCCTGGCTGATATTTGCAAGAAGAGAGACTATTGGAGTTTCTTCTGACATGGAGCAATTGGTTTGTCTAAATGACTGTCTTTGTTTCCCTACCCCCTTAGCTAAGATTCCTGAGGGTGAGGAGGAACAAGAAGACCCATACCGTAATGACCGCTGCAGAGGTGAGGATCTGGTGTCTTTCTGTGCTGTTCGATGGTTTGTCAACATGAATGAAAGTCACGGTTGATCCTCTTAGGAGCGTGAGCCGCAGTGCTTTTGCTCGGTCCACACTGGAAAGTACCTGTGGCTGGGTTCATGTCCACACTCCCTTCACTCTGGGCTCCTGCCTTCTTCCCTTTAGCGTCCTTGGAGCTGGGGGCCGGTGGGGAGGACAGAAGAGGGGTGGACTTACAGGGGAGGGACCATGGGTGAAAAGCTGACATGAAAAGCTCTAGTACCACCACGTTCCCCTGAAACATTCCACCAAGTTCACACGCACTGTGGACACCAGCTTTTCCCATGATGGGGTGACCCTGAGCCGAACTATGCCTGACCAAGTGAGGGCATTCGGAATGCTTACTTGTCCCACTGAGAGACATTTTCAAGGTCCTGATCAGAGGGAATGCAGATTTGATGTTCACGTGATAAAACTTACTCTTCTTTCATGGAACCGTCTGGTGTGTAGAGACGCAGATCTGTACCTCAGGTTGCTGGTGCTTGGTGGGTTGGTGGGATCAGGCCTGTGTCTTCAGATTCACACAGTTACACAGGTGCCCACCAGATGGGATAACACCTTCCCAGGAAAAGCAGAGGCAGAGATTCTAGGTGGGCACCCTAGAATCTGTCCCACAGGTCATAAAGGAGTGATTTCAGAGGAAGACCCTGAAGACCAGGTAGCGAGTTGTGGGGTTAAGTACCTTAACAACACACAGTGATGTGATTCATGTTGAGTCCTGGGGCTGAGGGAAGAAGCAGAGAGCCCTCTAATCCTCTTGACTGTTTGCTAGTGTTGTAACAATATACCGGGAAGAGAATGGCTTTAAGGATTAAAGATGAGTTGTCTCACAGTATTGGAGTCTTGGAAGTTCAAATCAGGGTACTGGCTGTTTTGATCCCATCCGGGGTCTCTGAGAAAGACATTGTCTTAGGCCTCCTATTAGTGTATGGTGGCTGCTGACGATCCTCGGCACTACTTTGCTGCTTACAGGTACATCTTCTCACCTTTTATAAGACATCACTTGGAAGGGATTAGGGCCCACCCTATTCCTATAAAACCTCTTTAATCAAAACTTTTCAAGACTTAAGTATTTTCTGCTTTGAATGTTTTGTTGGAACCATATGTTTTCAGTGATGGGGAAGGTATTTTGAATGAAATGGGAGAAAAAAAAATTTTTTTTAGCAATAGAGATTTTGATACAATTAGTGGGACACACATGTCCCAAGGGGTTGGTTACTGATGCTGGTGGACTGGTGGAGTCAGGCCAGTTTCTTCAGATTCACACAGTTACACAAGTACTCACCAGATGGTAGTGCCCACTATGTGGAATAGCATCTTCCCAGTAATCTGTAGAGGCAGAGACTCTAGGTGGGCACTGCCTGTCCCATGGGCCACGAAAGGGTTATCTTCAAAGGAAGACCCTATTTTCCCCAAGCAAGAACAGGTTCACAGGTCTAAGGATTATGACTTGAGCATGTCTTTTTATTTATTTATTTTTAAATGCTTTCTTGTTAATTATGTGATAGTTTACATGGGAGAACATTAGTTTTACATTCATCCTATCGTATATCGTTTCATTGCCATGGTTACAATCCCCTCCATGCATCATCAACCAACCAAAGGGTATACCCCACAAGCCTGCCCCCCGTGGTCGTCAGCCCATAGCCCCTCTCTCTCTCTGGGTCTAGAGTCCCCAGCCGCTCCATCTCTCCATGTCATCGTCTCTGCCTCTATCTCTGAAGTCACTACTTCTCTTGGTGGGGTCCTGCATTCCGCTTTTCTCCCTTGATGGTCCCAGGGACCTCCGCTCCTGGACTGCAAAGTCAACCACTCCCCTTCTTTTGCTACAAAATGTCTACCTTTATATTTCCAAAACTCACAGTCAGTCCTGATAACAATTATTCACTATTGTATCACATGAGTGCTATCCCTATCTCCTTTCATCAGCCCCGCCCAGACAGATTGGATACTACTCAGTGGAGATTCTACCTTCCTCCGCGCCCTCTGGATCTAGGCTCCCTCTTGAAAGTTTGTAAGCCAGTCACTTCTTGCCTTTGTAGCCGCCCCCCCCCCTCCACATTTTGGTAGCCAATGTCCAAGTTGCCCGTCCCTGTCTACCTTATGTATTGAGGGAGTGGGAATGATCCTCGCTTGAAGATTTGTTCACTTTTTTGAGCTACTGCATCCACAGATGTAGGTCAAGTTCATCAAATTGTATCACATGACTCTTTTTTTCCTTTTCTTTCTTCTTCTAGTTGAGCTCTGATCATCCAGTCATTGAAGTCAGGTCAAGTGGGTATTTTCTCCAAGTGTGGGTGTTCTTATGCATATGCCCTCTCTTCTTATCAGCTGGACACTTCACTCTCCACTCTAGTCCTCTGTGGCTGTGTCACCGACTCTGGGCCCAGGAGTCCCCAGGTCTTGCCACACTGCTGGCCAACCAGGTCTCCACCTGGGGTTCACAGAGCATGTCTTTTTTAGGGGTCACGATTCAATCTATGGCAGTGATAGTGACAAGGATACTGGTAGTCACTGCTTGAGGTATAATTGGGGAGAAGCTGGGTCCGCTCAGGACCCGGCCCCATCCAGGGATGTCCATCACTGATGGGCACTCTTCTCTGCCCTGGCCCTCCTGACTCCACAGAACTTACAGAGACCGTCCTGTGCACCCCCCACATTGTCAGCCAGCACTGAGACCTTGGGACTTCCCATAGGGTCTTAGCTGGGACAGTGGTAGGTAGGTTCTAGACTCCACGGATCTGCAGAATGTGGGTCTCCCCTCATACGAGCTCTGTCTGCAGGCGGTGGACCATGCAAACAGCAGTGCCATGACACAGGAAACGAGGTCGTCTGCTCTTGTTTTGTGGGCTACCAGCTGCTGTCCGATGGCGTCTCCTGTGAAGGTAACTGTTCAGTGCTGTACCCGTGGACTGGGACCTACCCACAAGGTTCAAGCAGAGTCACGGGGACACAACGTCTGTAGTGTCGTGGAACTCCCACCGGTATTGAGTTTCTCTCCGGACGCAGGCCACAACCACAGTGGACAGACCACGTGCTGGGCAGGAGGGCTGGGTCTGAGGTCGGATCAGCAGAGAGGGGTATGGTCTTGTTATAGGTCAGTTGAGCCCAGTCCAGGACCGGTACTTAATGAGTAGTGCTCAAAAAGAAGGACCATTCTGAAACAGCAGGACTTGGTGGCGAGGGTGTGTCTCATTGATTGAACTAGGGACTCCTGGATACAGGGAGGCGGGTTCCCCTTGGGGATCCATGTTCCAGCTGCTTACCCCCGGCTCTATCCTAGACGTCAACGAGTGCATCACTGGCACCCACAGCTGCCGCCTGGGTGAGTCCTGTGTCAATACCGTGGGCTCTTTCCGCTGTCAGCGGGACAGCAGTTGCGGAACAGGCTATGAGCTCACAGAGGACAATGACTGCAAAGGTAAGCACCTGCCCTGAGCCCCTCAGGAGAGATGTGGTATGGCTGGCAAGCGAGGGGAGAAGAGGCAGCCGTGGGCAGCACCCCACTGTAGTTGCCGGGGCTACTGCTTTCTATGTGGTGGGGTGTTCACTGCTGTCCAATCTGTCCCCAACTCATGGTGACCTCATGCACAGTAGACAAAATGCCACCCAGCCCTGTGCTGTCTGCCCTTCCCCATGACTGGCTGTGGATTGGACAATTGTGATGAGGTTGGCTATACCTACCTACTCTGAAGCCCCTGAGTGGTACAGTCGGTTAATGCACTTTTCAGCTAACCGACCACCCAGAGACGAGTCGGAAGAAAGGCCTGGCATCTCCTTCCCCCAAAAAATCAGCCCTTGAGCACCCACAGAGCACAGTTCTACTCTGTCACCGTGGGATTGTCACCATGAGTCGGGGTCACCTGATGGCACCTGGGTATTTAGACCTGCCTGAAATGTGAAAATGCTGATAGAAGCCATCAGGACATGCACCCCCAGCCAGTTCTGTCATTAGTGCCCTCCGCTCGTGCACAGTTAATGCCAGTGGCGAGTCTGAATTTCTGAAAACCTTCAATGCTCTTTTATTTAAAAAATTCACCCAAGGTGAATTTCAGGAGTTCACATGCACTTTCTACAAAAACAAAAAAAACAAAAACCCAACAGGACATTTCTGGCTGCCGGCCTTTTGTCCAGCCCTAGATGTTACTTGGCAGATCAGGCTTTGATGAGGGTGGTCTGGGAGGTGCCTTTCTACAAGGTTCCAACATTTCAAAAGCAAGGCACACCCTTGTGACAGCTGAGGGCTTTTGAGCAGGGTCAGTTTATTCCATCCCTGTGGCCTGGCTGGGCGGTTTGGACACCGAGAAGCCAGTGGCCGAGCCAGCTGAGTATACACATTTGAACGTTTGACATCTGTGAACATCAAGGGGAGGCAGCCTGTTCCTATCGGATTGTGTCGGTCACCACTGTTAATATTTGGATTGCCTCAAAGACTTCCAAATAAATGTGTTTATGGGGACCTTGTTTATTGCCATTAAGACAATTCTTTTATGATCTAAACTAAACATATCCTTAGCTAGGAATGAAAACAAAACAAATGTATCTGCCAGGAAAATGCCTGGATTGTGAATTCTGTTAGCCAAAAGCTTTCCTCATAAGACCCTGGGAATAAAGTCAGCATTTAAGCTTTTAGCAAAGCCAGCATTATTTGGCCAGTTTGTGACATTTCTATGGGATTGTTTGGGGTTATAGTCTGAGTTATAAGCATTCAAAAAATTGTTAAAAAGAAAGAAAAGACAAGACTTGTGATTTTAAAGTGTTGTTAAGACGCCTCTGGCAGAACTCTTGCTAACAATTTCCTTTTTTTATGACGTACCAGATATTGACGAATGTGAGAGTGGTATTCATAACTGCCTCCCCGATTTTATCTGTCAGAATACTCTGGGATCCTTCCGCTGCAGACCCAAGCTACAGTGCAAGAGTGGCTTTATACAAGATGCTCTAGGCAACTGTATTGGTAAGACACGCTGCTGTCAGGGCCAAGGGGTCTGCAGGGCGGACGGACAGCTCAGCTCTGAGGGGGCTGCTTAGTACAGAGAAAGGCCAGATGGGAAACATCTCGGGCACTGCAGGCCATCTGGTCTCTGTTGGAATTCTCAACTCTGCCGTCATAGCTTCAAAGCAGCCACAGATGATAACAGTAACAAATGGGTGTGGCTGTGTGCCAATAAAACTTTATTTGTGTGCTAACAAACCTTTATTTACAAAAACTGGCAGGAAGCTGGATTTGACCCAAGGGCTGTCATTTGCCAGCCCCTTGCATAGATGGCAGGAGCCCTGATGGTGTAAAGGGTTAAACACTAGACTGCTAACTGGAAGGTTGGTGGTTTGAACCTACCCAGCCACTCTGAGGGATGAAAGACTGACCATCTATAATCTTTGTAATCTTTCTAGGAAGTTGACACCCCAGAAAACTCTATGGGGCAGTTCTACTTGGTCACATGGGGTGACTGTGAGTCAGAATCGACTTCATGGCACCCAACAACCCCTGGGGGTGCAAACAATGAACATGCTTGCTGCTAAGGATACTTGATAGTTTGAATTCACCCAGAGATTCGTCAGAAGAAAGGCCTGGCATTGTACTTCCCCCAGAAATCAGTCATTGAAAACCCTAGGCAGGATAGTTCTACTATGACATATGTGGGGTCACCGTGAGTTAGAATCAACTTGGTGGCAACTGGTTTGCTTTTTGGTTGGCATAGATAAAAGATCTTGAGTTACGTATGGAGTTAGAAATACCTGGTGTGGAACTGAGTAACTCTAAGCAATTCACTTACCTTCTCTGAGCCTCCAGGAAAAAAACCATAATCTCTGGTAGCATAGTGGTTACAAATCGGACTGCTATCCTTAGGGTCAGCAGTTCAAAACTACCAGCTGTTCCGCCGGAGAAAGATGAGGCTTTCTGCTCCCGTAAAGATTTATAGCCTCGGAAACCCTGTACAGGGTTGCTATGGGTCAGAACCGACTCCATGGCACCCAACCACCCAAGGCGTAGCTAGTTCCCTGTCACAAGCCATTTAAGTCTATTAAACAATTGTTTGAAAAATACTGTGTTAATCTCCGAGAGGCAGTCAGTAGGAGAGGAAATAGTGTGAGAAGAGAAGGGCTGGGTACAGCTTGTCGAAGGAGCAGCCGGGGTTATTGGCAGTGAGCGAGCGGCTGATTGGTCACCTGCTTGTTACCTGTGGGAGGAGTGGGAGGTTAGCCACCTGGTGCCATCATTGTTTGATGCCAGCATATGAGTCCACAGCTTTGCTTGGCAGAAACTTCTAGGTCTTACCTCTGAAGTTACCGTCACTTTTGTGACCCAAGAGACCATCTTAAAAGGCCATATACCGGGTGCTGGGAGTCTATTTGAGAGGTTTCACCCTTTCTTAGAAGAAGCCCTAGTAGTGGTGCTGTGGGTTCAGCTAACCCCAAGGTTGGCAGTTCAAACCCACCAGCTGCTCCTCGGGAGAAAGATGAGGTTTTCTCCTCCCGTAAGGATTTACAGTTGTGTCAGAATTGACCCAATGGCAGTAGGTTGACAGTCTTTCCAAGATGAATCCGTGTTGTTAGGTGCTGTTGAGTCAGTTCAGACTTGTAGCCACCCTGTTATGTACAACAGAACGAAACACTGCTGGTCCTCCACCATTCTAACAATTGCTGAAGCCGTCTCGTGTTAGTCCGTCTTGTTGGGTGTCTTCAGCTTTTTCAGTGGCCTTCCACTTTATCAAGTGTGATGTCCTTCTTCAGGAACTGGCCCCTCTGACAGCACATCCAAAGTCCAAGAGACAAAGTCTCACCATCCTCCCTTCCAAAAACACTCGGACTGTACTTCCAACATAGATTTGTTGGTTCTTCTGGCAGTCCATGGTACTTTCAATATTGTCTGCCAACACCATCAATCAAAGGCATCAATCCATCCGTCTTCAGGCGGCCCTGGTTAGAACCTACCCTCCGTTGAGAGCCCTCAACCTTTCTTAGGTAAATCCCTACTGAGCTTTCATTTGAAAGGCTAGTTTGCATTGAGAGCTGTCTTTTTTCTACATTGTTTTTCTCTTTTTTGCATCCAACATATACACGAGGGGTCTTCAAAAAGTTGTGGGAAAATGTCATTATCTTTTCATTTCCTTTTTCCACAGGCTTTTTAAAGCCTCCCGTATATATACTTGTATATATATTATTAATTTTATGTTTGGGATGAAGACGTACACAGCAAAGCATACATCCACTCAACAATTTCTAAAGGCACAATTCGGTGATGTCGATGGGGTGGGTTCTTCAAGTAGTGGGCTGTTCTCTTTGTCTTTTTCCAAATGAGTCCACCAACATTAACACAACGTCACTGATCCCTGATCTTTCGAGTTGCTGTTGTCAATTTGACTCCAAATAGTTCTTGGGGAGTGTGGTGACTCCATACGATTATCACTGGACTGCGAAACACAAGGTTCATAGTTCGAGTCCGCCAGCTGCTCCACAGGATAAAGATAAGACTTTTGGCTCCCGTGAAGATTTAAAGCCCTGGAGACCCTATACAGTGTCGCTGTGAGTTGGAAACCAACTTGACAGCAAATAGGAGCAGCAACAGATGTTTCTTTAAAAGAGCACGATGCTCAAAGCAGACATTCCTTAGAGTCCTGTTTGGTTTATAGAAGACTGCAGAGTAGTTTCATTTTAAGGTTTACAGATGATCTCAGGGTCATATGCAGCTGAAGATGGCGTGGGGTGATATGTCGTCCAGCCTCAATGATCCCAGATTCTCTGAGACTCTGGATTCGATGAGAATTTCCAATTGGGTTACTCATTTCCCCCTCTTTTATTCAGGATTCTTCTCTAGAATCTTTCATCAAAATGCTTAGTCTTGGTAGCTGGGCACCATCTAGTTCTTCTGGTCTCATGGTGAAGGAGACAGTTGTTAACGGAGGCTGTTAGCCGTACGTTCCATTTCTCCCACCGACTCCTGACTCTCACAGGAGCCCTCAGCTGCTAGATGAGATTCGGGGTGACAGTTGAACCCATCAGCAGCTCCAAGAGAGAAAAGATCTGGTCATCAAGGGCACATGAAAACCATGCCAGACTCTCGTTTGGCTCCATCTAAGAGAACAATTGTTGTGTCTTGAATGGGCACTAGCAAGCTTTTTCTTTTACTTTTTATTATGAATTAAATGAAAGTTTACAGAGAAGACCATCAGTTTTACATTCAACAAGTCACACACTTTGTTTCATCTCAATGATTGGAATCCCCTCCCTGCAACAACAGTTATCCCGCTTCCTCCCTGGGGGGTCTTATTTCCATGCTACCTTCCTTCACAGCCCACCCTCCTTCCTATCCCTTCTCAACCTTGTCCTTAGGTAAATGTTGCCCTTTCGATCTTGAGTGATCAACCATCCTGTGGTGAACATACCTCACTAGTGTTGTTGTTCCCACTATATACTTGTCTACTGCTTGGCTGAAAACTGGGCCTCGGGGGTGAGTTCTGTTCCAGAACTGAGGGGTGGTCGAGGGCGATAGTCTCAGCTTCCTCCAGTCTCTTTCTGACTGGTACTCCTGGTCTTTCTAATAACACTGACTTTTGTCCCACATGTTCTTCCACTCTCTCTGGGACTTTCTAATGTGATCCCTTTCAGAGAAGTTGATAGTGGTAGCTGGGCACCATCTAGTTCTTCTGGTCGTAGAATCATGGGGACTGATGTTCACATGTTCCATTGGTCCATTGGTCTAGTTGATTCCAAGTATCTTCAATTTTCATCATTTTTCTTTCTTCTGCTCTTGGAGACACCAGTGTTTACACCTTAGATGGACTCTCATGAGCTTTTCAGATCCAGGTGCTCATCCCCAAAGTAGGATGTAGAACATTGTCTTTGTGGACCATTTTATACTAGCAAGCTTTTAAGACACCAGGCATTACTGAATGAGCTAGGATACAAGACAGAAAGAAGCGTTAAGAACACTGTCCGGCCTGTCTGCCTTGATGTCCCATAAGCCATGCCTCTAAATTTCTAAACCAGGAGCACAAATCCCACGAGATTCATCAGCAGCTGCTCTTTCTGTGGCTCTGTAGGATAAAGCACTGGACCACAAGGTCAATTTGAACCACAAGGTCGGTGGTTCAAGCTCACCAGCCACTCCTTGGAAACCCTATACAGGGTCGCTATGATTTCGAACAAACTCATCGGCACTTAACAACAACAACAATTGTAAAAATGCTTATAAAACAGCACCGATCAATTCAACCTTCTTCCTGTGTGCGATTTGTTGTTATTAGGTGCCGTCGAGTCGGTACTGACTCATAGCGACCTTATACATTGCTCCATTTACTGCTGCACTTGAGCCCATCACTCTTGCCACTGTACCACCTAACAAAAACCGGGGGCTTACTGGTGGCACAGGAGGTTAAGCATTAGACTGCTCCACAGGAGAAAGACGAGACTGTCCGCTCCCTTAAAGATCTTATCTAGGGTCATTATGGGTCGGAATGTACTCGATGCTAGTGGGTTTGGTATTGTTTTGGGGTTGTGAGACTGTCTGTCACCACTAAACACTGAGCCTCCGCTAGGCTATATTGTTAACCGAAGTGACTGGGCCTATCCTAAACCCTACATGGTCCTCACTATTTACTGATTGTAGTTGAATGAATAATAATAGTCACTCATTCACACCTTAAACAGCCCCAGTGGCGCGGTGGTTAAGCACTCCGCTGCTAACCGAAAGTTTGGTGTGTGGCTGCCTGCTTCTGGAAAGGTTTACAGCGTTGGAAATCCTACGGAGCAGGCCTGCTTTGTTCTGCAGGGCCTTCATGAGTCTGAATCCACTCGACGGCAGAGCGTTTGGTTTCCTGGGGGCCTTATAAGGACAGAAATTTGTTTGCTCACAGTCCTGGGGACTGTGAGTCTAAGATCAGAGGGTCGGTGTGTTGATTCTGGGGCTATAGGGAGAATCTGTTCTGCTCCTCTATCCCAGCTTCTGGTGGCCCCAGCGCCCCTGGACTTGTAGATACAACAGCACGTGTGCCCTTCCTCAGTCTCTTTGTCTCTGCATCTCTTCCATGCTTGTTTCAGGACATTGCTCACACAGGATTAGGAGCCCCCACTCCAGTATGAATGTTAACTGACAGCATCTGCAAAGACCCCATTTCCAAACAGAGTCACATTCTCAGTTCAGAAGACACAGTTCCGTGCCTCATGAGACCTGCATACAGGGTGGCAGGCAGGGGGATTACCAAATCGATGGTGGTGGCTGCGAGTCCCCAGGGCTTGTGACAAGGATGGGATTCAGAGGAAACTCATCCTCGGAGGGTTTGTAAGCCAGGCGGCAGGCAGGTTTGCACTGAAATATGGAGTTGTTAACAGAGACTAGGCAGAAAGCCAGCCAGGGCACCAGTGAGATCCAGGAGGCAGTGGGAGGCTGCCACGTGGCCCAGATGATGGCTTCTGGGGCCTCTGAGGGTGGTTGTGTGAACAGAACCTGCCTGTTGGATTCTGGAAGGCCCCACACTTCACCACAGTGTCCTGTCTCTCTCCACTGCAGATATCAATGAGTGTTTGAGTATCAGTGCCCCGTGCCCTGCTGGGCAGACGTGCATCAATACAGAAGGCTCCTACACGTGCCAAAAGAATGTGCCCAACTGTGGCCGCGGCTACCATCTCAACGAGGAGGGCACCAGATGTGTTGGTTGGTATTATTTAACACACACCTTTCTCTGGAAGGGGAGAGGAGTGCCCTAAAGTCAAGTCGGTCTCACTTGCCTGTCCAGTTCGCTGCTAATCCCCAAGCATAGGTCTTTATCGTCTCCTGCCTGGACAGTTAAAGTAAAAACCCCAGCCTGTCCACAGCCTCCAGCCTCGTGCCTTTCAGATCCAAAACTCCCTCACCACTGCCCACTCACAGCTCTCCATGACTGCCCAGTGCCGGCAGAGCAGAGCTTAGACACAGTTTACAATCCACTGTTTCTGAACCACACCTTTATAATCCAGGTTTCTCACTTTATGTCCTGCTGACTGGAAAATCTGATGATCTGCTCCCATAAAGATGACAGGCGAGGAAACCCTGTGGGGCACTTCTACTCTGTCATAGCGAGGAAACCCTGTGGGGCACTTCTACTCTGTCATATAGGGATGTCATGAGTTGACATTGAACAGCACCCCAAACAAAAAAATCCCTCGCTTTCTGTCTCAGTTCTCTCATGCTGTTGTAACAAAAATACCACAAGGGGGAGGCTTTAATGGACAGACATTTATTTTCTCACAGTTTCGGAGGCAAGAAGTCTGAATTCAGAGCACGGGTTCAGGGGAAGGCTTTCTCTCTCTCTGTCTCCTGGGTCTAGGAGGTTCTCAGCGCAGGGACCCAGCTCCAAAGGACTCTCCTTGGTAGTAATGAGGTCTCTGATCTCTGCCATTGTACTCTCTCCTTTGATCTTTTAAAGGTTATTCAGGCCATACTTCTGGGGAACTCCCCTTAGATCAGATCAGGACTGTGGCCTGAATAAGGGGTTGCATCCCACACTGATCCCTTAGAACTGATGGGCTAATTACATTAGATCACATCGGGGGATTATTTTGTAACTGCCAGATTACATCATTAAGCATTACATTACTGACAAACCACAGAGCATCAGGACCCAGCCAAGATGACACACATTTTGGGAGGACACAGTTTAGTCCATGGTCCTGACTTGTACATTTCCTCTGCCTAAAACCTGCCCTCACCTGTTCCTAGGTACCCTCCTCCTTGGCTCTCCCTGAGCCTGTCCCCTGAACAGATGCTGCTGAGCAGCCAGAGCAGCCCCTTCACACCATGAAATCCGAGTTTCTAAGTGTGTCTTTATTTTGTGCCAGATGTGGACGAGTGCTCCCTGCCCTCAGAGCCCTGTGGGCCAGGCCATCTCTGTATAAACTCTCCTGGAAGTTTCCGCTGTGAATGCAATGCTGGTTACTATTTCGATGGCATCAGCAGGACATGTGTGGGTATGTGGGTGGCCTTCCTGCCCCCTTGGAACTTAGGGTGTCTCTGCTGATTATGTGGGTGCTCCAAAAGCCTTCTTAGGGTCTGAGAAGCCTGGCCGATATTTGGGTTTCCCTCAGGTCTCCTGGGAGCTCAGGGTGTCCCTGTTAGTACACCCGTGTTCCTACAGACCTCTTTGCTGCCTGGGGAAACTGACCAGAATATGGGTGCCCCTGTAAACCTCCAGAGGGAGTCATGGGACCTGGCCAGGCCCATGACGCCAGGAAGACTGGTGTTTACCCCGCGCCTCTCTGTCAGGCCCTGGTGAACTCTCTTCGGACCAGGCAGGGCGGGCACGTGCAGTCAGGCCCCCACGCTTGCTGAGTTTGGGGGCAAATCACTTGCCCCTCTTACAGAGCTCTGGGGAGGAAGGAAGGAGTGGGTCGGAGCTGCCGGCACAGGCCGGGGGCAGATGGGGGGATCATTACGGTGGAACCGTTTCCTGAGCCACTCCTGCTCCCCTTGCAGACATTAATGAGTGCCGGCGCTACCCTGGCCGGCTGTGCGGTCACAAGTGCGAGAACACGCCTGGCTCCTACCACTGCAGCTGCACCGTGGGCTTCCGCCTGTCGGCAGATGGCCGCTCCTGCGAAGGTGGGGACTGGACCGGGGTGGGGCCGCTCCCGCGAAGGGGTAGGGGCAGGGGCGGGGCCATATGGACCTGGGGCTAGGGGCGCTCCTGTAAGGTGGAGACTGGGGCACACTCTGATGGGCCTGGGGGCGGGGCCGCTCTCTGTAAGGTGAGAGTGGAGCCTGGGGCAGGGACACTCCTGCTAAGGTGAGGGGACATGGCCTAGGGCGGGGCTGAAAGGGGACCACGCCTGAGAATGCAAAGGAGGGAGAGACTAAGGCCCACGTGGGTCTGGGGGCGGGGCTGGTCCTGGGTCTGCTGGGGTCGTTGATGATGCCTTTCTCCTCCACGCTCCACCAAACCACCTTCCTTCTGGGCAAGCCCCCATTCTTCCGAGGCACCGGAGTGGGACACATGTGTTTTTGTTTCCCAAAACCTAAAAACACTGTAGTTGTTAAGTACTGTGAGTCGGTTCTGACTCATAGCGACCCTGTACAGGGTTTCCGAGGCTGCAAATCTTCACGGGAGCAGAATGCCTCATCTTTCTCCCATGGAACCGCTGGTAGTTTCGAACTGCTGACCAGGAGGTTAGCAGCTCAATTCGTAACCACTACGCTACCAGAGCTTGACTCCAATTCATGGCGCCCCTCTTGTGTGTCAGAATAGAGCCACACTCCATAGGGTTTCCAATGGGATAGATTTCCAGGAGCTAATTGCCAGACCTTTCTTCTGAGGTGCTGGTACCATCAGCAGCCGATTTGTGTTTATCGGTTTTACCTCCCACGGACTCCTTTTCTTCTTCCCAATCTCCTATTGAAATAACGTGCTGGCGGGAATCACTGTATAAACGCTGTATGTTGGAGGTGATGAGACTGAGTTAGTGAGTGGAATGGTTAGGTGGGTGAGTTTGGGGAGTGACTGACCACCTACCTCAATGCCCTCACCACATTTACCAGTTGTCATCAAGTCAGCCTTGACTCACAGAAACCCCACGGTGAGTAGAACTGTGCTACATGGGCTTTTCAGTGGCTGAGTTTTGGGAAATAGATTACCAGGCCTTTCTTCTGAAGCGCCTCTGGATGGACTTAAACCTCCAACCCTTTAGTTAGTAGTCAAACACATTAGCCATTTACACCATCCAGGGAGCCCCCTCATGGGGTAAGCAGGTGGATAACTGAGCTTCTTGGGCTGACGGGACGAGGTGAGCAGAGCGATGTGTCTGAAAGACTCGGGGCTCAGTGAAGCTCCGTGGGAGCTTACCTGGATTGCCATTTCCTGCCCTGGGCAGCAGTGTGGTGGCCCGAGGTGTGTCACCAGGAGCCCTGATTGGTGAACTCTCAGACATGAGTTAGGACAGGATGCACGCTGGTGTGAGGAATTCTCACGCTGGAGGGCGGCCCGTGGGATGGACTCCAGACTCCTTGGGGTTCTGGAATCAGCCCTCAAGAACTGAACCCACCCTGTATCTAGTGGGAGAGAGCAGGTTCTTGTTTGAGGCGCATAGGCCAGCTCTGCTCTTGACCAGCTGTATGGGATGTGTGTGTGTGTGTGTGTGTGCCAAAACCTGGGATGTAACATAGTTATATGGTCCTAAAGAAGTAAGTCGACACGTGTGAACTTCAGTGTTCCATCTGTAAAATGGGGGCACTGGGACAAAATGGGATGAAACACACAGAGTTTGTCGTAGTGCTGGGCAGCATGGGCTACGCCAACTATACAACAATACAAAGCAGGATTGGCTTTGGTCCTTTTGTCCCTCCTGTTTCTGATAGCGTAGCGATTACAAGTCCAGCTGCTTAACACGGAAGTCAACAGTTCGAAACTACCAGCCATTCCATGGGAGAAAGATGAGACTTTCTGCTCCCATAAAGATTTACAGCCTCAGAAACCCTATACAGGGTTGCTGTGAGTCGGACCCGACTCCACGGTACACCACCACCATTTCTTGTATGTAGTCATCAAAGCCTTAGGAACCTGGTGGCATAGTGGGCCATGAGTTGGACTGATAGCCACAAGGTCAGCAGTTTGAATCCACCAGCCGATCCTTAGGGCAAAGAGGAGGCTTTCTGCTCCTGTAAAGTTTTACAGCCTTGGAAACCCTACGGAGGGTCAATACGAGTCAGTATGGACTCGATGGCAGCAGGGTTTTTGCTGTTTTCCTGGTGCCGTCTTCCTACCAGCTGCTGAATGGTGACCACGGTGGGTGTGGACAGGTGGGGGTGCGGAGTGGGTAGAAGACGACACAACAGAAATATATGGAGGTTGCTAGAAGTGTGAGTTCAGGGCACTGATTCTAGTGGGGAGGCTTTCTTTGGGGACTCTGGTGGAAGGTCCTCGTTTCAGTGTCTGTAACCCAACATTTGGGTGTTCCTTGCGATCTATATGGGATGTCTCTTTCGTCTATTTGTGTTTTCTTGCCTCTGGGCCTAATCTGATTAGGTTTAAGGCCATGCTACACTGATGTCCCTAGAAGGATATCATGCTAGGTAAAGTGGAGGGTCAGTGAAAAAGAGGCTGACCCCCAATGAGAGGGATGGGCACAGTGGCAGCAGTAATGGGCTCAAGCGTAGCAGTGATTGTGAGTTTGGTGCAGAACTGGGCAGCGTTTCATTCTGTTGTGCCGAAAGTCACTATGAGTCGGAACCAACTCAATGGAAACTAACAACAACAACAACAACAACACTAATGGAGTCCTGGTGTGGTGCTATAGGACAAGCACCAGACTGTTAACCACAAGGTCTGTGGTTCAAACCTACCAGCAGCTCCTTGGAAACCCTATATAAGGTCACTATGACTTGGAACTGACTTGAAGGCACTGAATAACAACACACTGATGTGATCTCATTGACATAGCGAAGTAAGCCCTGTATCTCATTGGGATCGCATCCACAGGTGTAGGGGTGAGGGTTCCTATACGTATTTCTAGGGGACAGAGTTCAGTAGTAACAGAAGCATTCTGTTCCAGCCCCACCGCTGTGGAAGGCTGGCCTGTGGCCTGTGGCTCTGAGGGTGACTGGGGAACCCCTCTTTTTCAGACGTGAATGAGTGTACCAGCAACCCGTGTGGTCAGGAGTGTGCCAATGTCTACGGTTCCTACCAGTGTTACTGCCGGCGAGGCTACCAACTCAGCGACGTGGACGGTGTCACCTGTGAAGGTCAGGGTGCTCTCTAGGGCTGAGGGAGGGCGCACTGCTGGACCTCTGTGTGTGCTGGGAGGGCGCTCCTTGTGGGCCGAGGGAGGGCACACCATTGGACCTGCGTGTGGAACTTTCTTGGACCAGAGTCCCCTGTGTTTCCCACCCTTCGAGACGAGCAGATGGTTTTTTTTTTCCCTCTAGCTAAGGTTTCTTGGTGTGTTTTGGACCCATTGTTGAGTGAGGTTTGGAAAGAAGCAGCCCTGAATTTTTCTCTAATAAACAGAACACTGGTGGTACTGGGGTGTACCTCAGTCTCCCTTCAGATGCTCCCTGGGTCCCAGGACTGGAAGGTGTCATGGGCCCAAAGGCTGGGGGCCTTAGAGCCATACATGCCTCTGTCACTGAGCCCCACCGATTTTCTTTGGGAAGATCCTCCCCAGACCTACCGGGTTGTTGGAGCGTTGATTCAGATACTGACTAAAAAGCTGTTGCTGTTGACACTGAATCGGTTGTGACTCATAACGACCCTATGCATAGCCGACCGAAACACTGCCCAATCCAGCATGGTCCTCACGGTTGATGTGTTTGAGCCCATTGTAACTAACTGCCAGTGTATCAGTCTATTTCGTTGAGATGCTGTTGTCCTTGTTTAAATGGCAATTAATTGGAGTCCTGGTCTGTGCTGTAGGATAAGTACTGGACTGCTAATCGCCGGGTCAGTGGTTCAAATCCACCAGCCACCCCTCAGAAACCCTACACAGGGTCACTGTGAGTCAGAACTGACTTGAGAGCATTTAATGACAATTAGGATAATTGTTATTTTTATTTTTTTAATTTATTTTTTGTTGATGAAAATGTACCCAGCAGAGCATTTATCAGTTCCAGTTTCTCTGTGGACAATTCCGTGACTCTGGAGACTTTCTTCGAGTTGGGACACCTGTTTCTGAGCTGTGTTTCCCCACCCTCTTCACGTCAGCTCACTGCCCCTTATGGTTTCGAACTGATCCTTCCACTCACTGTTGATCCCCTAGATAGAGCTCTGAAAATAGCATAATGCTCACAGCAGAGACTCTTTTTTTTTTTTTTAAAGCTTTTATTGTGACTTGAATGATAGTTTACATGGGAAATATCAGTTTTGCACTCATCCTATCATATTTTGTTTCACTGCAATGATTATAATACCTTCCATGCATCATCATTTAACTGTCTTCTATACCCTCTGTTTTTTTGTTTTTGTTTATTGATGTACACAAAAACACTCAGGAATATATAACCATTTAAACAACCAAAGGACACATTTTGTAAGCCTGTCTCCTGGCCGCCAGCACACAACCTTTCTCTTTCCATGAGTCCAGAGTCCTCAGCTGCTCTATCTCTCCATGTCCTCATCTCTGCCTCCATCTCTGGAGTCGCTGCTTCTCTGGGTAGGGTCCTGCATTTCGCTCATGCTCTTCTCCCTTGATGGTCCTAGGGTCTTCTGTTCCTGGATTGTAAGTTTAACTACTACTCTCTTTTTGTTACAAACTGCTACCTTTACAAGTTGTGACAATCACAATTAGTCATGATAACAATTGCTCATTATTGAATCAAAAGAATCCTATGTCCATATTCTTTCACCAGACTCATCTAGACAAGATGAAAACTATTCAGTGGAGATTCTATCTTCCCCCATATATTCAGAAACTAGACTCCCTCTTGAAAACTTGTAAGCCAGTCACTTCGTGCCTTTATAGCCCCCCTATTTTAGATAGCCAATGTCTAAGTTAAGGAGCTCTGGTAGCGTACAGGGTTACAAATCGGGCTGCAAACTGCAAGGTCAGTAGTTTGAAACTACCAGCTGTTTTGCGGGAGAATGATGAGGCTTTCTGCTCCCGTAAAGATTTACAGCCTCGGAAACACTGTACAGGGTCACTATGAGTCGGAACCGAGTCCACGACACATAACCACCATCACCAACAGTGTCTAAGTTGCCTGTCCTTTTGAACCCTGTGTACCAAGGGGACAAGGTTAATCCTTAATATGAAGACTTCTTCCCTCTCGGTTGATATTTTCAGCTATTACACTCACAAGTTTAGAAATGGGAGGGTGTCCGACAAGGTTGTATTCTTTCACCATGCTTATTCAACCTGTATGCTGAACAAATGGTCCGAGAAGCTGGGTTCTATGAAGAAAAATGTGGCATCAGGATTGGAGAAGACTCACTAACAACCTGTAATATGCATATGATACAACTTTGCTTGCTGAAAGTGAAGAGGACTTAAAATACTTAACTGATGAAGATCAAAGACCACGGCCTTCCGTATGGATTGCATCTCCATGTAAAGAAAACAAAAATTCTCACCACTGGACCAATAAACAGCATTCTTATCAATGGAGAAAACATTGAAGTGGTCAAGGACTTAATTTTTCTTGGATCAACCATCAAAACTCATGGAAGCAGCTGTCAAGCAATCAAATGACATATTGCATTAGGCAAATCTGTTGCACAAGACCTTTTTAGTGTTGAAGAGCAAAGATAGTCAGTTTGAGAACTAAGGTGCGCCTGACACAAGCCATGGTATTTTTCCAATAATCTTATATGCATGAGAAAATTGGACAATGAATGAGAAATATCGTAGAAGAAGTCATGCCTTTGAGTTATGGTGTTGGAGGAGAATATTGAAAGTGCCATGGGCTGCCAAAAGAACAAACAGATCTGTGTTGGAAGAAGTGCAGCCCAGGTGCTCCCTGGAGGCCAGGATGGCCAGACTTCATCTCTCATACTTTGGATATGTTGTCAGGAGGGACCAGTCACTGAAGAAGGATGTCATGTTTGGTGGGGTAGAGGGTCAGAGAAAAAGAGGAAGACCCCCAGCAAGATGGATTAGCAAAGTGGCAGCATCATTGGGCTCAAGCGTGGCAACCATGGTGAGGTTGGCCCAGGACTGGGCAATGTTTCGTTTTGTTGTGCATGGGGTTGTTATGAGTCGGTATCGACTCGATGGCCACCTAAGAACAACAACAACAACACCCATAAGTATAGGACAAGTTTATCAAATTGTCGCAATTTACATTTGCTTCCTTTATAAATTTTTTTTGTCTTCCCCTAGTTGAGCTCTGGTCATCAAGCCATTGAAGCTAGGTCAAATGGATACTATCTGCAAGTTTGGGTGTTCCTGTGCGGGTGTTTTTTTGATGAGCACGATTTTTATGTCATTTAAATATTTGTGTGTGTGCGGTAGTATAGACACAACACAGCGATCGCCAATGTAACATTTTTTACGTAGACAATTCAGTGACGCTGATGACCTAAACTGTGTTACACAACCATCACTCGTTTTGCCAAATTTCTCATCACCATTAACAGCTGCTTACATCACCAAAACCAAACCCACATCCATCGAGTCAATTCCAACTCCTAGTGGCCCTACAAGGAGCTCTGGTAGTATAATGGTTACAAATCGGGCTGTGAACCTCAGGGTCAGCAGTTCGAAACTACCTACCAGCTGTTCCACAGGAGAAAGATGAGACTTTCTGCTCCAGTGAAGATTTATAGCCTCAGAAACCCTGTGCTGGGTCACTATGAATTGGAACTGACCCCATGTCACATACCCACCACCACCAGCGACCCTATGGCATCAAGTAGAATTGCTCCATCGGGTTCCCGAGGTTGTAAATCTCTATGGGAGCAGACTGCCTCATGTTTCTCCCATGATGGGTTTGAACCGGTGATCTTGCAGTTAGCAGTCCAACGCTTAACCCTCTGTGACACCAGGGCTCCTTAACAGGCACTTCCTGCTTCCAAAGGAGTGGTTCCTCCTCCTCCCATTCCCTCCCCCTGGTAACCACTAATAACTCTTCTAAATATCTCATATAAGGGAGGTCCTTTAGTATTTGTTCTTTTGTGATTGACCGATTGATACATTCGCAGCATTTCCCATCATGCACCTGAATTGTGGGTTGCTCAGAAGCGCTTTCACTCCCTCCCCTCCCTCATCCTGCACTGACCATCCCCCACACACGGACACTTCACACAATAACCTGAACCTCAGTTTCTCATGATGTCACAGCAGGGTGAGGCGTCCTATGTCCAGCTTGCCCCATACTGCCCACCAGCTGGTGGAGACCAGGGCTTTAGGGGTGTGGGTCAGGGCCCGTGGCGAGGCACCAGGATGCGGATTGATGAGGGTGGGTTTTGCTGTTGCAGACATCGATGAGTGCGCTCTGCCCACCGGAGGCCACATCTGCTCCTACCGCTGCATCAACATCCCTGGAAGTTTCCAGTGCAGCTGCCCCTCCACAGGCTACAGGCTGGCCCCCAACGGCCGAAACTGCCAAGGTGAGCGAGGCAGGGCCCAGGGTCTGCTCAGGCCATGCTTAGGGTCTCTGGTGTGTAAGGGGGCTGTGACCAAGTCACTCCCAGCCCGGGGTCTGTTTCCCTGACTCAGGGGCCAGGAAGATGAAGCTGTATTTGGAGAGGGGGTTATGGATCCAACTCTCCCACAACTGGCAGACCTGAGCCCATTGCCCTGTCCTCTGCTGCCCCCTGGAGGCCAGAGCAGGACTGACAGCCTTTAGGAAGCCGTCCACCAAGGAGGAAGTGGGAGGCTTGACTGGATATTGGTAACTGGACACCCCCCTTCTACATCCTCGAGCCTGCTTAGTCAATCATTCCACAGACTTGCTGTGGGCCCAGTGTTATGAGAAAAAACAGTGAGCCAGATGGCAAGGGTGGGGGTTGGGTATGGGTCTACAGGTTTGTAAGAATGCTGTGGTTTTAGACAGCAGCTGTGAGGGTCTGACTGGCCAGGGGTCAGCTCCTGCACTGGCTAACTGAGGATCAAGAATGTTCCTCCTGTGCTTGGTGCCCACTGCTGAAGGTCACACTGGGCTGACAGTGCATTCTCATGATAACAGTGAGATCATGAATTAATGGATGGTTCTAGAATCACACACTGACCTCACCACCCTGAAACAGATGACTCACAGGGGTTGGAGTCAGCCAGCTCCCCACCCACCCATGGTCCAGGGCCTCCGAGACCCTCCTGCGTTCTGCAAATGTGGATCAGGAAGAGGGTGGCTTTGTCCGCGTGGGGTGGCTGAATCTGTCTACCATTCCTGCTTCTGCCCAGCTCCCTCCCCAGACGAAGCAGGAACATTCCTGGGCTGTGGCCTTTGAGACTAAGGGGCCTGATTCGTGATGCCTCTTATGGGCACCCACAGATGTTGGTAACATTCTCTGGACCCCATCAACTGACTGCTCTAGGGGTTCTCTGTGGTTCCAGGCCTGGTTCCATACCAGCCAGAGTGGTCATCCTTCCTGCACATACATACACGGGGGCTTTTTAAAGTTGGTGGAAAATGTTATTATCTTTCGATTCCATTTTCCACAAACTTTTTGAAGTCCCCTTGCAAGAACCTTTTTAGCCTCCATTTTCTCATGTGAAAAATGGGACTGGTAGCTGGTGTTCCCCCCTCTCCCTGGCCCCAGATTAGGGTGACATGCCTCAAGGAACCAGGTGAGAGATTCCGATTAGTTCAGGTGGGCACCTAGTGCCAGCCTGCCTGGCTCCGAGCCATGTGTGCAAATCCCTTAGCTTCTCTGGACACTTCCTAAAGTGAGGAAGGTCCTAGCATTGGCCTCGTGGATTGTGAGAATGAAGTGTCTGTCTGCTGCAAAGCACTGTGTGTTTCCTGTGGTCACTGTCAGACACGTGTCCTGGGGATTATAGCCAGTAGGTAAACATTCCATGCATATAAATGCCTTCCAACAAAAGAGCTGGTCAGAGCGGCGGCTCCAAGGAGCAGCCACTGATCCTGCTTAGGGCATTTATATCGTAATGTCTCTGTCTGTGACCTGGACCTTCACTGAACTGTGTTTCACAGACATTGACGAGTGTGTAACCGGAATTCACAACTGCTCTATCAATGAAACCTGCTTCAACATCCAGGGCGGATTCCGCTGCCTGTCCTTCAGCTGTCCGGAGCACTACCGCCGCTCTGCAGACACGTAAGTCCCTTGGCCCCACGCCTGTCTGTCTGAGCGGTCTTCCTGGTGGTGGCCTGGCTCAGAGACACTCAAGGACCCTGTCCCTGGTCCTTAGACCACTGAATGCCAGCCAGACTGGACTGTCTCCGAAAGCTAAGGCCGTGCCTTGGAGTGAGGTTAAGGTTTGCAGGCTACGCTCAGAAGCCTGTTCCCAGGATGCAGCTGGGCCTCCACTTCCGTATCTGTAAGAAGAGAGAGGTCCAAACGTGAGTTTTCACCGTAGCTGAGCATGTAGTGATGGTTCCATGAATGACCATGAGCCTGCAAATCCATGTGACTTGTTGACGTGTGGCTATTAGGGAATCCCTACCTGTACGTCAGATTCCATTCTACCTATATGGATACAGACAACCCTAATGTTTCCGTGCTCTAAATTTGGATGTTGTGATCTGTATGCCATTTTAAGCTCACTCATTCCAGAACCCCAGGGCATCTACCCAGGAACTCCTTTTCTCTGGGGAGCCTGAAGGCATGGCTGTCACCATTGTACCCCGCCCCTAATCGACCTGAGGTGGTTCACTTAGTGATCCTGCAGTTATTTCCAGAACATCTCCAGGATGGGGACCCAACCCTGCTCCCCCAGCACAAAAGGGTTCCCCTGGAAGTCTCTGAGTGATCAGACAGAGAGGTGATCACATCTCCAAGGTCCTAAGAACATGAAGCTCTGTTTACCCACAATGCAGCTCTAAGACCTCAGATGTCCACTTTTGACTGGGAGCCAGGCTGGCTATGTCTGCGGGTGTCTCTGCCCGACTGAGAGGTGACCGCCTGGCCTGGCCTCCAGCACACACGTCTGTCCTCGTTTCTCCAGTGGCCTTTGCCTTTTGCACAGCTCTGGGGGGCTTGCTGCTGACTTCCTGCTTCCCCACGCCTGCTTGTTGCTTTGATAAGTTCTCTGGTTAAGCCCCTTGCTTCCTTCTGGGTCTGCAATGGGTGACGGTCCAAATAGCCTTCTGGTTGCACAACACCCCATGAGGTGTGTGGGGCCACTCCGCTGAGCCATTGAGAAGGTTCTGTGTCCCCAGTTTGAGACCCTGTGTTCATTGGACTCGAGACCAGAACTTGCTGACTCCCCGGACTTTGGTGTTGTGTGGGCCTGAGGTCTCTAGAGGACAGTCTGTTGTGTTTTGATGTCTCACTCCTGTGCACTTATGAGACCAAAAGACAGTCTCTGTGTTGGGCTGCATATCCCCGAGGCCGAGCATGGGCAGGTCTGCCCTGCAGGGGCTGTGGTGTGGCTGAGTGTAGAACCAGCTCCACCTCCTCATGCCGGAGGGTGCAATGGGGGCTTCACCAGCCCCTCTGTGCTGGGAAATCTTGCACCTGTTTGGGAAACATTCACCAAGGGCCCACCATGCCCTGCCTCTGCTTGGAGTCCTCAGGAAACACGTGCAAAATAGCAGTTACAGCAGCAATGTTCTAGAAGGCTGAGGGAGAAGGGAAGGAGGAGGGAGGGAGTTGGGGTTGGCACTGGTTGAGTGAAGGAGGAGGGAGGGTGGGATGCCGTTGGGATGTGGACATGCGTTCAACCGTGTTCCGGCAATAAATTGTGTGTGTGTGTGTGGGGGGGGTATGGATTAACCAAGCAATGACATTGGGCATTTAGGGGGCAACCTGGGTGCTTTGTTTCCTCCCAGAGAGGCCATTTGTACGTGCCAGGTGTCCACAAGTCCCCATCCAGGTAAAGCAGGGACTCCCTCATTCTTGGTACGGACAGGATGGAAGTTGGGCCTAGCTCCTGGTAAGCGTCCCAGCCCCACCCTTGCAGAGAAGATTGAGGGTCCCAATGTGTCTGTTCATACATGCTCCTGCTCACCAGTGACACCTAGTGTCCATTGGCGAGCACAGGCTGGGGAAGGAGGAGATGTGAGGGCCCCTGCCTGGCCTTGCCCCTTCTCCCAAGCACCCGGGGCCTTCTTAGGAGAGATTCAGGCTTTGGAGTCGGACTCAGATCTGCAATCGTTGCTAAGTGTTTCCCGAGTGTGAGCCCGGGGTTCATGACCTTCCGGGGCCTCAGCCGTGAAATGGGGTGCTGATGTTGTCTCCTGGGTGTCTGCAGGCTGACCAGGACCATGGACACAAGCCCCCCAGATTCAGTTCTGGGTGGTGTAGGTGGGCACCCCAAGGCACACCAGCCCTGACAGTATTTGGGGGGCAAATGGAGGTATGTTTGTGTAGGTTCCAGAGTGGCTCCTGGCCCAATCAGCCCAGGACACAGGACAGATGGACAGGCTTTTGGTCCTGGCTCGCTCATTCACTGAGGCGATGGCCCTGCGTTCATCTCCTGGTCCCTCAGCATCTGTTTCTGCATCTGTACCGCGGATCCAGATACACCTGTCATGCAAGGTGTTGTGGATTAAAGATGTCTGAGCCTCCCCCAAAACAAAACAAACCCAGTGGATTCCGTCTCCTGGCGACCCTCAGTGCTACAGAATAGGACTGCTCTGTACAGTTTTCAGTGACTGTAATCTTTACAGAAGAGGTTGCCAGACCTTTCTTGCTAGTCTGTCTTAGTCTGGACACTCCCCTGAAATCTGCTCAGCATCGTAGCCACACAAAAGTGTTGGCTGGGAATCGAACTGAGTCTTAAGCGTCGTAGAGTCGGTTCTGACTCATAGTGACACTGTATAAGGTTCCCAAGGAGCGGCTGGTGGGTTTGAACTGTTGTCTCTGCTTATCCTACGGCATCCACATAGGAGAGAATTCTGCCACTGCACCACCAGTGCCTCCCAAAAGAACATATAAAACCCCTTTGATATCAAGTCCATTCCAACTCAGTGCACCCCATGTGTTACAGAATACGTTCCTCTGTAGGGTTTTCTTGGCTGTAATCACATGTGTATGTGATTTGGGTGGAAGTTTACGAAGCTAATTGGTTTTCCACTCAGTGATTCATATTGACTCTGATCTCTGTGTAATCATATTGACAGGCCTTATTTCTGTGGCTTTGAACTGCCAACCTTTATGTTAGTAGTCCGGGACAAACCGTTCTCGCCACCCAGGGCCCTTGGTTCTGGTGGGGAAGAGGGAGGAGTGGGACTTGGAGTGGGCTGTATGGGGCTGGGACATCCCTCACACACAGGGAATCTCTCTGGTGGTAGCTCTCTGTCATGGAGGCAGAGACCGTGTGGCAGAGCACAGGAAGTGGGGAAGCCCAAGTCAAGTGGCCACGGGGGTCTTCCCATCCCAGCCGAGGCAGCTACTCTAGGACGAGCGAGGTACCAGTGGCTGACGATCCGCTGGTAAGAAGGAGACTGCTTTGTCAGTCCTCAGAGGGGGTCACTGCTCACACAGACCTGACTTCTAAACCAGAGTTTTTTTTAAACATTTTCTAAAATTTTTATTTGACAGCCCATTCTCCTGTTATCAAGGCCCCTGGTTCGTGATCAACTCTTAACTTAAAGGTGGGAGACTCTAACCCACCCAGAGGTGCCACAGAAGAAAAACCAGGCTATCTGCTTCCATAAAGTTGGCAGCCACGTAGACCCTCTGGCACTCAGTTTTATGCAGCACATGTGGTTACTGAGATTTGGGCTCCACTTAACAGCATTGGTTTTGTTTTGCCTTTTTTCCCCACCCTCATCATTGTCAAAAGTCCAAGCCTCTTAGGAGATCATGTCTTTTCTGACTCTCAGAAAGCCATTTTAAACATGGAAGAGAGCTAGGTTTGGTAAGACAGCAGTTAACACAATGCCAAGGAGACAGGCAGTTGTTGAGCCTTTCCCCCACCTCTGCGCATGTGTGTCTCTCGTTGGTCCGAGCGTTTGTTCTTCTCTTCACCGTCTGGTCTAGCAGTGTAATACCAACCATCCTGACGGTGGAGTGTCCTCCTCTCCTAGAGCCCTCTAGAGCTCTCAGTGGAACTGAGTCTTGGTGGCTGGGCAGCCATGGGCACCACTTCCCAGGGAAGGGGCCCCACGAACAGCTCTTAGCCCAAAGGGATGACCGAGTGGACAGAGAGGTGAGGACCTTTGATGTCTCCTCTGCGTTGGCTGGTTTCTGGGACTGGTTTCCACAATGACAAGAGCAGGGGAGTCAGAGTAATCCAGCAAGGGGGGGCAAGACTAGGACCTGTCTGGAGAGCCGGTGTTCTCTGACCTTCCTATCATTGTGTTTGCATGGGATTGGTGTTCTGATCAAATGTGTTGGACTGAAACATTGGGGCACATGGTTCTGTAATGTACGACAAAGTCCAGGATCATGGCATGTGGGACCCAGGGCGCATGATCCCTGGAGCCTGGGGGTGGGGTGGGGCAGAGGCACCCATGCCAGTGTCTGATAGATTCTTCAGTGACAGCAGCCCATCCCCCATCTTGATAGATGCTAACAAAGGTGCCAGCGCTATGCTCAGTCCCATAGGCAGCTGATCAGATGTAGTAGTTTAAACTCTGAAATGTTATCATTTCTGGAATGTTCTAGTATGTTTGGAGTGGAGCAGGCTAGAATCAAGAAGTGCTGAGGGCACAATGGTTCAGCATTGGTTTGCTACCAGAAAGGTTGGCAGTTCAAACCCACCAGTAGCTCTGAGAGAGAGAAGACCAGGCAGTCTGGTCTTGTGAAGACAGTAGTCTGGGAAACCCCATGGGACAGTTCTCCTCTGTCATCGAGAGCCACTGACTCTGCGCCCAGTACTACCAATAGCAGCAGGAGCCGGAGAGAGGCATTGAACTCACAGAGGAACTGTCGGCCCTGGGTTGGGTGATACAGATCTAGAAAGCCAATGACTTCAGGCCCACCTTGGGAAGCAAGTGGCCTAGACGGAGCCAGACTTAGAGACCTTTAGTTAAGTATGAGGACGGCTTGGGGTGCTCTGCTGAATGACTTTGTGGGGGTCGGGTTAACACTTCCATTTGGCAGTTCTAGCCCCACCCCATCCTTGGATGGCAGAAGTAGAAAAGCTTAAACCACAGCAAGGAGATTCACACACCACCCACTAGAGGAGGTTACAGACCCACACTCTC